GGCAGCTTTGCAAAGCAGTGGTATAAGTGTCTTAAAACTGATGTGCCTCAGTAAGGTGCACCTGATCCTCACAGTAGTGTTTTACCTTGTGTCACAGCTCATTGGTAAGGGGCTTCTTAGGCACACTTTGGTGAAGAATAATTTAATATACATTTGTGCAACTGATGCGACCGTATTGGAACCGCTCAATAAATCCTGTGAATGGGTCTGATGTAATGCACAGCTCATCTGGGGCAGCCCTGGAGCAATAGGGGGGAGATCTTTGCTTTCTGAGAGTAAGGCTGCCTGTGCTTAAAGGGTCAGAGAAGGCTGAAGATTAGTGCCTGGCTGCTGAGAGCCTGCTTACATGTCACTATATACTAACAGCTGAAATAGCTTTTGTTATGAGTCAGCAGGTGGAAGGGAAAGGTGGCAAGTTGAAGCCTTCCTCAGACAGGTGCACAATTAACTCTTTCTTGTATTTCTCAGGCTTGGTCCCAAAAGTTAAACAGAATGCAACCCTAAAACCCAGGGCCAATAGGTAAAGCCACATACCTGCTTTCCACATTAGCTTTTGGTGGTGGTGTTTTTTTTTTTTTTTTTTTCCTTGCATAGTTGCCTCCATCCACCACACAGTATGCATGAGCCAGAGGTAGGAGTGTCTGATATAGTTAGATGTCTGAGACCTCTGAAGACTGACTGGAAGGCAGAAACAGCAATCTGTGGCTCTAAATGTTTAGCTTACATTGGCAGTTTCCTCATTTAAAAGCAATTGGTCAGTCCCATGTCTGACATGCTTTCCTTGAGAGGAAGGCCTTAGACAACTGAGTTGAGCTCTCTGTGCTTCTAATCACAGCTGTGTTAATACCAAGCCTAGCTTGGAGATGTAATATCATTACAGCAAAAAGGGAGCTGTTGGAGCCCCAAGGAAGGTAGAAGAAGGGGTAGTACAATCCAATACTCTTTGGGCAAGATTATTCCCCTTTCCCTGGGCAAGGGAAGAGTCTCCCTGGGTAGACTCATCAGTTAGCAACCCAGATTTCTAATTAAAGAAGATGCGTGCTTGGTGTTCTCTTGGTAGTAGGAATTACTGGCTGAGGAGAGCAAATGATGAGTATTGTTAGATGGGGTTGTCTGGTCAAAGAGCTCAATCTTGTGCGACACTGGGTTCAGACAGCTTTTGTCCCTTAATGCCTCTCCACACTAGGGAACCCCAGAAGAGTGCGTGTGTTTCTCCAATGTGTGTTTCTTGTCTACGAAGCATCCATGCAAGCACCTCGCCATACAAGGTCTATGCAGCTCAGATTTTCTTGTGCAAGAAAATAGGTCTTTGGTCACAGTAGTTCAATAGTTCAGTAATTTCCAAAGAGAAGGACTTGAAGCTTTTGAATGTGACATTATATTCTTTTTTCATGATGTCTACCAGCTGATAGTGCTACTTAATAGTATGTTGTCCCACTTGGCAAAAATCCAGTGTTTTTGTCATTAATATATTTTGCTAAACCCTTATTGGGGAAAGGAGCGATAGTCATGTTAGTGAAGGTAAACTTGGTTTAAATCATTGTGTGGTTTATGACTGTAAAAGTCTCATCATAGAAAATATAAACTACTTATTTTGCAATGCAGAACATTTCAAGCAGCAGATTTTACTCCCTATCAGTCCAGTTACTTGCTTATTTAAAGACATTAAAAATGCATATAGTATAGAAGTGGTTTTTTTACCGCACCATAAATATCTAACAATAGATGTTGGATAAGAAGCACTTAAATGACATAGGGAGATAGATTGCAATAATTTAATAATTTTCTAATCCTGACATAATTTACATGATTTGTCTTGTTTCTCTAAACTGAAGTATTTTGGTGGCACTGTTATGTGTTGCACCTGGGGGTAGAATGGATATTCATGCTGTGAAAGTAAGTAGTTTGAATTATTCTTTAAACAGAACTTTTCCTTTTATTATATTTTTGAAGTGGATGCCATAAAAAAAAAAAGATGGAATTATTAATTAAGAATATCAGTGGATTTATGTCTCAAGCAAGATTAGTATCTCAGAATTAACCCTTCAGTAATTAAATTTGGTTTTTAGTTTTAACACTCTGTCTTCTAGGAAAATAGTGCAATCTTTGCAACTTTTTTTTGTTCAGAAATGTAATAGCCGTACAGCATTTATGTTTTTTTAAATTAACTTGTTTTGAAATTGCCCTTCAATCTAAGGTTTTTCTGGATCTTATACAAATTAAAAAATCTCTGTACTAAAATAACAACCAAAAAAAAACCACTGCTTGTATCTGCATACACATACAGATGTGCTGGAATGGCGTGTAATCCAAAGTGCCACATAATAAAACATCTCCATTTCAGTTGCCATGCTATTCAAAAAGAGGGCACAAAAGGTCTTTTTTCTGAAACATTTGAAACAGGTATCTTTTTAGGGCTCTAACTGGTATGTGAAGGCATGGATAGTGGCACATGAGGTAGGATTCATGCATTTCTTGATATCACCCCTAACCGTAGATTTCAAAAATCAGTCCCTCAACATGCTATGGGTACATACAGGTACTATACTATACATACATACTGGTACTGTTGATCTCAGTAACAAACCGCTGTTGGCTTATGCTTCTAAGGAACTTGTTAATATATATACTTATATATTTATATATTATTATTGACATGGTAATCTGTATTGGTGTCTAGTACAGCTGAATCTTTAAATCTGGGTGCATTTAATGTTTAGATGCTCCCTCCAAACTTTCATTTTAACTGTAATATCTGCGATCCTGTGAAATAAATGCAACAAATGCTTTGTACATCAAATATAATGTCTGTCCCTGTGTGGCTCCCTCAGCTATAGTCACAAATAGACCCAGCATTTGGGCCTAGTGTTTTGTTTTTTAACGAGCTTGTGCAGCCCAAATGACTGTAAGGTGCAGTAAGATTAATTTCAGAGTAAGCATTCAAATAGAAGTAAGAAATAAATGAGACAACTAATATATCCTGCCTTTGTTGCTTTAATTTTGTTCATATGGTATTAAAAATGTTTTACGTAAGAGTTTTGAGTATTATGTAAAAAAAACAATCTCATGCTTAGTGCTGCTGTTGCAATTACCATATCCAAACACAGCTTTTTGTATTGCTTAATATAGGGAGTAATATGCAAAATTAATTTATGCTTGCTTTAGGAAACCTATTGATTGATTTAAACATCCTTCATGACTGACCTAGCTTCTTCATCTGGTGATGAGGTCTCCTATAATGTTGCTAGGATGGAAGAGTAGCTGTCGTATTTGAACATAAAGTCTTGTTGTGGAAGAGTTAAATGATTACCAGAGGGAAGAAAAAAAGAAAAAAAGGGGGAGCAGCGCAAGTGGGGAGAATCCGAAGGGATATTTTGTTTGATTCCAATGATTGTTCTTAGAGATGTATATTATAGGGATTTTTCTTAATGGAGTTTTTCTTAAAGGAGAATACCTTTTTGCATGTATGGCTAATTACTTCAGGTATCATTAGCAAGGAATGGTAGAACACTTTGGAGCATATTATTAATACTTCCTTAAGGCTAGGAAGTACTGTTTCACTGACAACATTGACCTCTTAGACTCTGCTAGCAGAATGCAGGTGTTTGGTTAAATTGTATATTTTTTCTTCTTTAAAATTACTACTCAATACCTCTCTCATTTCTGGATATTTAAAAAAATTGCAAAGGTAGACACAATTCTATGTAGTGTGTGAACAGCTTCCCAATTACTTGCATATTCCTCCACTGCTGTTGTCAATGCTCCTTAAACAGGTATATATTTCCCTGGGATTGTGGGAGGTTTATTTTTATTTTTCATTTTTTCTTGTATTTAGCAAAACGGAGGAGGGGGAAAAAAAAGGAGAGCTCTAACGACCGTACTCTGGAGTAACATTTGTAGTTCTTGTAACAATGGGACAAAGTCCTGTCAATGGAAGTTTAATTAAAAAGTTGAGCAATATGGAGTAAATAAGTTGTGCAGCATGTACTTCTCTCAAGAATCTTAGCAGCTCTTCCTGTTTTAAGATTGCTTATTGTAATTCTGTAACTTAGTAGGAGAGTTCAAAGGATTGTAAAACATGCTGCAAATAAAAAGTAATATAAACTAAAACACATTGCCCTAATAACTTAATCAGTACTTAATTAGTTGTGCCTATTGCAAGAATTATTCTTGTTCCTTCAATCGTTCTATCTAATGACTGGGGTGAGGTTTTACGCTTCTTCCTTATTAATATTCTATATGAGCATGACTGGGATGTAAACTAGAATTCAAGAATGTGAAAAGTTTAAATGCAGAGAAACCAGATCAATTCTTGGCGTCGGTGTTTGCTCAGGGAAAGCTAAAAAAAAATGTTCTGTGATAGTGGTTGCTCTAGAAGAAAATGTAGGTTCCTATGCTGTAGACCTGGTTGGAAAATGTGTGGCAAGGGATTGTCTGGAGTTGAAAGAATCTGGAAGTTACAGCAGAAATGCTCAGAATGAGCAATAAGACATCACCAGGACTAAGTGGATTTCACTAAAGAGTTCTGAAGGAATTTAAGAATAAAATAGCTGGATTACTAACAGTGTATTCTGTGCAGTGTATTCCGTTCCGTAGTACTGGAAGGTTCAAAGAGCCCACCAAAAAACAATTTCTCTTGGGAGCCTGAGAACCGCAGAAGGTTAATGTGTCATGTCTACCAGACAAATTTGCAGAAAATAGAAAAAAGGAAATTTTCCTTTAGTACGTAAAGGAAGGTCTAGCTTTACAGATTTCTTGGAATTACATGTAAGACTCTGGAAACCTGATCAAGTTGTTAATGGATTGTATATGGATGAATAATTGGCTTTAAAACAGGAGGCAGGTAGTTGGAGAAAACTTATAATAATGATAAAAAGTATTCAGGGTAGGAAGGACCGATTGGGAAGAATTGGGAAAGGTTCCTATGAGATTAAGTGACTTTGAAAAAAATAACAAAAAATTCTGTTCTTTACAAAAACATATTTTTTTTCCGAATGCAGATAGCCATTTGGACGAACTTCCCACTCTCCTTCACTGTGCAGCCAAATTTGGGTTAAAGAACCTTACTGCTCTTCTGCTCCGGTGTCCCCAGGCCACTCAGGCTTGCAGCAAAACCAACAAAGATGGACACAATCCAGCAGGTATTGCTGAGAAGCACGGTCACAAGGAACTACAAAAGTTAATCACAGATTTTTTGGTAAGTCCATAAAAATTTTCATATACTGTCTGTAACTGGGGCCTATGATACTCTGCTGGGATCCCATAGTATCTACCCTTGCAAAGCCTAATAATACAGGGATCCATCCATATGACTCTTCATATCATCCATCTTACTCTTTCTGTTTCAGGAAGACGGGTCAGAAGGGGAAACAGACACTTTCTTTGTGCAGTGTTATAATGGAAATAGAACATGGCTTGTAGATATTTCTACAGTAGTCTGTAGTAAGCCAGCTATTGCCAGTAAAATCTAATAGGATTAACAGTATAATCAGCAGCACACTGCAGTAACAATTGATACTTTTTATCTGTTTTAAGTTTTTATTTCTTAATATGAAGAGAGATGATAGTCTTTGTCCCACAGATTTCAAAGCCCAGAGAACAAATCAAGTGATGTATTAGAAAAGACTCTAGGGTGGGAAGACTGACAGAAATGAATTTATGTCAAGATACAAACTCCTTTCAAGAAATAAGCTCACAAGATATAAAAGATATAAATAGGAAGTTTAAGAACTGATAAAAATTTGTTGATCATGTGGGTTTTTTTTTTGTGTTGGACTCTGTATTTATTTAAAAACTAGAAAAAAAGATAAGCCTCTAAAAGGAGAAAATACAAGGAGTCATCCAGTCACCTTGATTTAATCATGGATAGACGTAAGGCCAAAGACAAGATCTGAAGAAATACAAAATAATAGATGTGTGGATAGTAAAAGTGAGAGTTTTTAACATGAGTAAGGAAAAGAAATTAAGAAATCTGTAGGTCATTTAAGGGAGAAAAAGATGCAGTAAAGAATGGAAAAAATGACTGACTGGGATTAGTTATTAAAATGCTAGTTTGAAGTCATAGGGATGGACTAAGCTTTTTCTTTGATACAGCTTGAATCTGGAGTGAAGGTAAGACACTGGAAAAAAACACTGCGAAATAGTGTGGTCACAGTATTGAACCATGAAGATGACATCAGCAATGTTTTACTAGCTTTCTTGCTTTCTTTCTTTCTTAGGGGAAAAAATGCAGTCTTAGGGCCTGAAAATAAAGTGTTTAAAAAAAAAAAAAAAGTTGATACAGACTGTAGAAAAGCTGAGAGAAGGAAAATATCTGCCTATTAGATATTTCTCCTTTTCTAAAAATACTACTGCAGGGAGCTCATACAGGGGGGTGTTTCCTTGTTTACCAGCTGACAGATCTGATCAGACCTTGATGCAGTGCAGAGTTCTTTGTCTGCAGATGGAGTGCGAAGAAGTGCTGCATTATAGATGTGATGTGTTTACTCCCATTTCTGATACTGTAGTTAATATCAAACTTAACCGAAGAAAAAGCGATGCTCCTTATCATCTAACATAAAGTCGTCCACAAAACTAGTTGCAGGCTGTCTTCCTGGGTCAATATGGTAGTAATTTTATATAAAGCAATTCCTAGTTGCTCTAACAGTGTGACAGCCATCTCTGTACCAGTAGCTGCTTGATGTACAAGGCCAAGTCCCTTGGCCTCTGGAGGTGTACCAATCACTTTGGAGAGGGGAACTGTGTTCCCCGACATCCCTAGCTGTGGGCATCCCTAAATTCCCTAACGTGGCATTTTCATAAGGCCACGTTCCCCTAGCAAGTGCTGTAGGTAAAGGATGAGTAAGGCCAGACAGAATGCGAATAAGTTGATACCTAGCTTAGTCAGAGTCCCAGGTAAAAACTCCTCCTGTCTACTTCAGTCATGTGTCTGTGTTGTACAGCTCCAACAGGACTAGAGAAAAGAAATGATTTTATTTTTATCCCTAGAACATTCAACTTCATGCTCTAATCTGGTATGTCTGTGTAGGAGCAGGCATAAGCACACACAGTAAAGGCAGCCTGCAAGTCATATGCATCGAGAGAGTACCTTGCACTTTTGGTCTCTTTACATTTTGATAGACTTTGCTCAGTGACTGAATTCAGTATTTCTGAGGGTGCTATATTTCACTCTAGGATTGTAGATTTTCCTGACAATGTATATGCCTGCTTGTGATTAGCTGTTGCATTTAGCTGGATTATAAACTTGTCTAAATGAAGTCTCGGTCTAAAATTTTCTGTCTAAATCATAGAAAATGATAAATCTGATTTTATACAATCTTATTTTTCACACAAGTCATTTCTTTGAGATTTATGTGCAAGAGTCTGCAAACAGTTTAAAAAAATTGTTTTCAGCTTCCTATGATTGCACTCCCAAGTGTGAATACCTATACCAGCTGTGAAGTAAAAATAACTTTATGAGCATTAGAGATAACATAAGGGTATAGAGCTTGGTTAGTACCACCCCTTTTTAGCTGATTCAAATGGCTTGGTTTACTAATTTCACGCAAGTAAAAATTGGATCATACTTCAAGCTTGTCAAATGTGTAAAATAGTATGCTAGAAATATTAGGCCCAAAATCATGGAGAAAAATAGCTTATTTGTGTCCCTAGTAATAATGCACTTGGGAAGGAAAAAACTGACTGTAGTTCTGTAATGGATGGGAAGGTGAAAAAAATATTTAGGTGGCTCAGAGCCAAGCAGAACTTGGTTTAGCCCTGTTCCGGGAACTTCCCCATACAGTTGCAGTATTGAAATTGCTCATTATTACATGAGATGTAGCTTTGTGCTTGGCTCTCTAAGTGTTTTTGAAGTTGTTATCTGCGTTTTGCCATTCCTTTATATAAGGAATAACTCCCAAATATTCTGAGTTATTAATCACTTTATCTTAAAAGAGCAGTAAGGCTCCAGGAAAAAAAAAAGAGTGTATTACATCTTTTGAATTTGTCCAAAACCCTGGAAAGTGCCTTTCATTTGCTTTTGTGCTGGGAAATCCTTAGGAGAGAAGGCATCTCCTGGGAAGGGTAGAGAGGGAGAAGCAAAAGGAAAGTGGCAACCAGACAGTTAACTACCTCTGTGCTCCAAGCTGGGGCTCGCGGTGCTGCTGTGGGTAGTGGGTGATTAGCTCGCTGCTGCTGCACCTTTCCTGATGCAGCCCGTTAGCTCCTGTGACCAGCAGGCCTCCTGGTAAAGCTGCTCAGGGCAATTTTGGCAAAAGTGGACTATAGGAACTGTGCAGTTTGCACACTGGATCATCTGTGTGCAACGAGTTCCCTGTCCCCGATTAAAATGAAATCTCTCTTCTAGAGTTAGACACTACTGGTCTTTCTATGGAGCCTTACGGACACAGAAGGCAGAGCTGGTCTCCTTGTTGGTGTAAAAACAAGGGGAGGAGGTGAAGAGATTTTCCCCACTTATCTGTGTTCTAGGGCATCTAAGGCCCCGAGATGCAAAAACATCATATGCTTTAGTAACCTATATAAATGTTTACCCACACAAGCAGTGGAGAGTGCCTCTGTCAAAAAACTGCATTTCAAAAGCTCCTTGAAAATGTTTTCCTTGTCCTGAAGGAACATTGCAAGACTCAAACCATTTGGATTAAAGATTTTAAATTGATAGTCATGCCTTTAAAAAAAAAAATAAAAAGTCTATTTAATGGCAATTATGATAAAGCTCAGTTTTAAATGTACCAGTAGTTTGTTAGGCAAATTGTATTTTTCTTGCATTTTAGCATAAAGCCCCTAAATGGACATTTATTTTCAGTTTTTACGTGTTTCATTGTAATTTTGATGACATAATTCCCTCTTGGTTAGCATAAAAGAGGGCTATCGCTTAATGTTCTGTGATACTATTCCTGTATAGAATCAAGTACTTGAAAATTTTCCATAATTGCTTTTAGTTTGAATTGGTTGAATGAGAGTTGTGAATTTAAAACTAGAAAGTGAAATTCTGTGGGAATACTGGCAAGAATCCTTGACTCTAATTACCTTCCCAGGCAAAATGATGAACCTTTCAAGTTTAGTTGATTCACCTGAGGGCTCAAATTCCAGTAAAAGAAGCCCAGGTGCTTTGCTTTGTGTTAGCCACAGGCTCCAACGGTGTATGCAGCCAGCTGTTACCCTGTCTCTGCTACGTGCTTGGTACCTTGGTAAGTCACAATAATTTACCCAGACAGGTGGGCCTTGTTTCAGATGTTTCTCTTTGAGCATGTTCCCTATCTGAAAGCTGTTTTGACACTAACTTGTTGTTGCTAGTGGTGGTTTTATAAGCCTACAGAGAAGTTCTGCCTCCAGAAAATAATGAAGTTACTTAAACATTCTCATCCAGCACAAGAAAGACTTCAAAAATATACAAGAATTTCCAGGCATTAAGTGACTAATGAGGGGACTGTGTTCAATCTGTGACCTCACCGTTTAAAACTGGAGGTCATACTGATAGCCAATTGAGACATTTATGCTTTGGTATGTGCGTAGTTGCTTGTTCCAGTGCTTTGGGGTGCTATTTTCCCGCTTCCTTTACTAAGAGCTATACTGCTGAATGGATTGTAGGCAGGAAGATTACTGTGTACCTCGCTGATTCTCAGAAAAATACAATTCAGAGAGCACTTTATTTGTTGTTTAGTTCAAATAACTTCTGACTATTGGCGTCGGCTTTTAAAGCAGATTCCTAGGGGTGACATAAATGTTATTTAAATACAATAATTGAAACAGTCATTTTATGTTGCTGCCACACAGCTGCGAGACAGCACAAATTCATTTTGATTGTTAAAATACCTTGTAACATTTCAGAATTGGTTGTCTAAAATCTGCAGCACAAATTATAAGTTAACTGAGCTTTTCTAACTTGTCCAAGACCTTTGCCCAGACTTGTGACCGTCTATTTCAGAATAATGGACTGATGGAAGAAAACTTCCTCCTCTGCCACCAGCAGAAGCCTCCCTGGTTGTCTTGTTTAATATAATTTTCTACATCTTCCTGCTTCAGGCACCTCTTGCACAGCTATTGTAAAAATAGTAGGCATTTTATTCCGTATATATTGGTGTCATTGCTTCAGATTTCAGTGGGCTGGGACAGTGCCTTGGGTCAACCTTGTATAAGAGGGGTCTGTTTCTCTCAAAAGAGAGTCACATTTAATATTTTATGTGTCTTTTGAGTTCTCCC